GCGAAAAGGTAGTCGGGAAACACTGTGTGTTTCCAATGATTTGTGGCTCAGAAGTAGGCCCGCTAAAGCGGCGGGTGCCGAGCCATCTGGCCAGATGAGAGATGAAAAATTGCACGCCGTTGTGCCGCGAAGCAAATTTCCAAGTCAAAATGTACACAGCACACCATGCTCGAAGAACTTTTGGAAGTTGAGATGTTGAAAAAGTGCACGCTGTTGTGGCGCGAAGCACATTTCGAAGTCAAAAGTGTCAAAAAGCTGACGGGTTCGGAGCACTTTTGGACGTTCAGATGTCGTTTGCGCGTGGCCGGCGCAAGGGATTGTGCACCTTGTCAAAAGTGAGCAAAACCTGAGGGTTTTCTATGGTTTTCTAAGATTTCCAAAAACGATGGCGGGCGTGGGACATTTGAAGAGGATCTGGAAAGATGGATTTTCCGTGGCAGGCGCAGTATAGACAAGAGAAGCATGAGTCAAACATGCTCAAACATGTTAGGAGGTCCGGGCTCTAATTTCCTGAGAGGGGCTGCATGTCGGAGCATCAGATCTTTAGTTTTTGGAAGATGATTTTGTGTGACAGGTGCAGCACTTTCTACGACCTGGCATCACCTTTTCGTGGCAGGCGCAATACTCCAGAGACATGGATTGGAAAAATCGCAAAACGCATTGGTACGAGGCTGTCAGCTCTGCGGTCGACTTTCCATGTTTGAAGGAAGTTTTTCGCAGAATTGCTTCGTTTTTGATGTTGCCAACTTCAAGAATTGAGGAAGTCTCGCAGAATTGCTTCGTTTTTGATGTTGCCAACTTCAAAAACTGAGGAAGTCTGGCAGAATTGCTTCGTTTTCAAGCTTGCAGATAGACAGATAGAAAGACCGATAGAAAGATAGAAAGAAAGAAAGATAGATAGAAAGACAGACGGACAGACGGACAGACAACTACAACTACAACTACAATTTCAACTACAACTGCCACAACAATAACAACAACTGCTGCTGCTGCTGCACTACTGCTACTGCTACTGCTGCTGCTACTACTACTACTATTACTACTACTACTACTACGACGACTACTACTACTACTACTACTGCTACTACTACGACTACTACTACTACTACTTCTACTTCTACTACTACTACTACTTCTACTACTTCTACTTCTACTACTTCTACTTCTACTTCTACTACTACTCTACTACTACTACTACGACGACGACGACGACCACTACTACTACTACTACTACTACTACTACTACTACTAGTACTACTAGTACTACTAGTACTACTAGTACTACTAGTACTACTAGTACTACAGCTACAGCTACAGCTACAGCTACAATATATTGATCGACAAATCGAGAGAAAGACAAATGGATAGAAAGATGGATAAACAGATAGACAGATGGACAGATAGATAGACAGATGGACAGATAGATAGATCGATAGCTAGACAGACCGACAGCTAGATAGATACATAGATAGATAGACAGATATAATGAATGCAGACATGGATAGATAGGAAAATGGGCAGCCCGACAATCCAACCATTTGTCGATTCAGCGGTGGAGTCGCTCTACCATCCATGATTCACAACAACCAAGCTCTCCTATAGGTTTCTTGTTTTTGAAATTTCCGCCGCCGCCTTGTGCGGTACTTCTGGTATGTATTAAGCACATGTCTAATGCGCTTTGGACTCCTGGTCCTGGCACGGCCAAAATCACCAAGCTCAAGGCCACCGGAGCCAAAGGCAGCTACGTTGCGAAGATGGCCAGTACCAACTTGCAAAGTAAGGCACCACGAGTCCAGGACCGAAAAAACTTAGTGCAATCATGGGGATGTTTTCCCGTTCGGACGCATAGATTGTACAAGTAATGTAGGATATTAGAGGCTCAACTCTCAACCGATTTTGGGGAATCGTAGTTGGGCACTTGCAGAATCGAAAATGTTTTATTTTAATATTCAGCCATGTTGCGATATCACGGAACATTTTAAAATGCATTACTATCGACGTCAAACCTGACCTGCTCGCAAAATGCAACGTGAACATGGCCACCTCCACAGCCCACCAGAGATCAAAAACGTTTGTCATTGGTCGTTTTTGAGAAAACCATTGGAAACCACTTGCTTGATAAACCATTGTCTATTTGCTCAACTCCAATTACCTGGCCTACCTCCCAGTCGGGTTGATCTTTTGTGGCCACAGGAACTGGTCCAAAAGGTCTTGTTGGAGCTGGATGAAATCATGGACCTCCTGTTGGATGTCAAAGTCAAGGGTTCCGTGGAGACCACCGCTTGCACTTGGATCCGGAACAACCGTGACCGGTGGGATCGGTGGATTGCCAGTGCTACCTATTGCATTCAAGGTCAGGGGCTGGTGAATGCTGATGGAGAATTTGTGCAGAAACGCAGTGAGGCCAGGGAGTTTTGGAAACTCGAATCAAATTGAAAATTTCATCAACATGGATCAACAAAGATATTCAAAATTGGAAATGGGCAACAAAACTGTCGATCTCATTCCAAGGTTTTCAGGATTTGGATTTGTGCATTTTCTTGGAGGCAGCTGGCTGTGCAGTTTGTTCTTCTGGAACGTATTCCGAAGACTTTGATGATGACGGGAAGACACGGCGATGCGCCAAATGCTCACCAGGGTACAGCCAAGGAAAGGGGTTGGCAAAGCTCCCATGAAATGGGGATTTGAACACCACCACAACAATCAAAACAGGTGCTTGTGGTTGCTGATTCCACTTTTCCAGTTTTCTAGATTCTAGGGTAATGTTACGGGCAAACCCCTTAGCTTGCCCGCGCCTACGTCGACGACGTCTCCGAAGATCAAAAAACACAGTGTTTTGTGGGACAAAGGTGCACATGTCTCCGTTGATCATGGCTGTCATCTTGCAACGCGCAGCTTAGCTACCTGTGCGTTGAATGTTACATCATCATCCTCCTCCTCCTCCTCCTCGTCGTCGTCGTCGTAGTCGTCGTCATTGTCATTGTCATCAACAACGTCAACCCTAAGCCCGAAAACCCTAGCCTAAACCCTAAACTGTTTGAAAATTCCCTTGAATATAAAGTTTAACGGGGGTGCGGATTTGATGATTCCCTAGAAACTTTGTTGAAACATGTTGAAGATTCCCTTGAATGTAAAGGTTAACGGGGTGAGGATTTCATGATTCCTTAGAAACTCTGTTGAAACATGTTGAAGAGTTCCTTGAATATAAAGTTTAACACGCCCTTCAATATCCTCTGAAAAGTGGTTTGGGCGAGCTGGGGGGTTTGTGCGTAATGTATAGAAATTTTGCATGTTGAGAATATGGGAGTTACAAACGATCGCCCCATTTCACTCCAGGAGAATCTTACTCGTCATCATGTGAGCCCTGTGGCAAAGGGACTGCGGCCCCCTACGCAGGGAGCACGGAGTGCCAGCTCTGTGGCGTGGGTTTCTATCAGGACCGTGTAGCGCAGACAGAATGCACACCATGCTCCGCCAACAGGACCACACAGTTGTTAGGCCGGGGTTTGGGGAAACCGACAAATATCAGCAGGAGAAGATGTGACATTTGGATACATTTGGAAAGTTTCCAAAAACTTTTTTTTGGTGGTCTGAATTGATCCGTAGCCACAAAATGAGTGTGGGTTGTCAGCCTGTCACATCGGTGGACCATGCTGGACCTTGGTGAAATGAGGTGCAGGAAGTAAAGACGCTTGCATTTGCAAAGCCGATTCCATTGAAGACCAGTCGCAAACGTGTATTGCTTGCAGCAAGGGCCTGTGGTGCCCCATAGGCAGCACGGTGGAGAAACTGCTTTTGGCCAATGGAACAATTGCAGATTCGCCGCGCTTGGAAGAAGGCTACAAGTCTGAGACTGGTTGATGGTTTATATAAAATATTTTCCAACATATTTGGTCATTCCTTCCATATGATATCATGGTATCATGATCGCCAATTCCCAAAGCCAATATGTGTACCCAAATTGCATTTCTCCCCACCTGCCAGGTGGGAGTCTCTACATTTTATCAGAGTTACTTGCTCCTCCTTCTCCTTCTTCTCATTCCTCCTTTCGGTCTTCAACTGCCAGCTCCAGATCTCAGTGGGCACTGCCGGACCTCAACTGCGGGTGCCACGTTGCGAGCTCAGGAGGCTGTGGAGTGGCCCTGGAGCCGGTGCCACATCGCGAAGAGATTGCCAGAGAGAATGCCAGACAGAATGCCAGAAGAATGCCAGATAGACTGTCAGAATAGGTTCTAGATAGAATCCCAGAATGAATGCCTGAAAAGAGTGGCAAATAGAATGTCAGAAGATATGCCAGATAGAATGCCAGAAAGAATGTCAGATAGGATGTCAGAGTATATGCCAGAAAGAATGTCAGAAGATATGCCAGATAGAATGCCAGAAAAACGGTCAGAATTTGTGCCAGATAAGAATGCCAGAAAGAATGTCAGAAGATGTGCCAGATAGAATGCCAGAAAAACAGTCAGAAGATATGCCAGATAGAATGCCAGAAAGAATGTCGGAAGAATGTCAGATAGGATGCCAGAGTTTTTGCCAGAAAGAATGTCAGAATATATGTCGGATAGAATGCGGATAGAATGCCAGAAAAACGTCAGAAGATGTGCCAGAATATAGAAGATAGATAGAATGCCAGCCAGATAAGAATGCCAGAAAGAATGTCAGAAGATGTGCCAGATAGAATGCCAGAAAAACAGTCAGAAGATAGATAGAATGCCAGAAAAACAGTAGAATGCCAGAAAGAATGTCGGAAGAATGTCAGATAGGATGCCAGAGTTTTTGCCAGAAAGAATGTCAGAATATATGTCGGATAGAATGCCAGAAAAACCGTTCCAATATATGCCAGATAAGAATGCCAGAAAGAACGTCAGAAGATGTGCCAGATAGAATGCCAGAAAAACAGTCAGAAGATAGATAGAATGCCAGAAAGAATGTCGGAAGAATGTCAGATAGGATGCCAGAGTTTTTGCCAGAAAGAATGTCAGAATATATGCCGGATAGAATGCCAGAAAAACGGTCAGAATATACGCCAGATAAGAATGCCAGAAAGAATGTCAGAAGATGTGCCAGATAGAATGCCAGAAAAACAGTCAGAAGATATGCCAGATAGAATGCCAGAAAGAATGTCGGAAGAATGTCAGATAGGATGCCAGAGTTTTTGCCAGAAAGAATGTCAGAATATATGTCGGATACAATGCCAGAAAGAATGTCAGAAACTATGCCAGGTAGAACTGCAAGCTCCAGATTTCAGTGGGCACTGCGGGACCTCAACCGCGAGCTCCAGATCTCAGTGGGCATCGGTGGGCATTGCCGGACCTCAACCGGATTTCATCAGAGTTGTCGAAGGTAGGTTTCATCAGAGTTGTCCTTTTGCCTGGCAGAAAGATGTGCCAGGAAAAATCTCAGAATATGTGTCAGAACCATGGCAGACAGGTATGACAGTAATTTTGTGATGGTGAGTAAAGTAAATTTGATAATTTTTGATTTTAATGATGATCAATGAATGGACTTATATAGGATATATGATTTAATGATATCCGATTTTCGGACCAACCTTTTTCAGCCCAAGCATCCCAGGAGAGACTTGATCCAATATCCGTCTACAAATGCTCCACCCCACAATGTCCTGGAGGGGCTCCTGATAGCTGTAGCCGAGGGCACCAAGGGATTGCTTGTGCAAATTGTCAGCCACAGCATTACACCAGCTTCTCTGGCGAGTGCTACCCTTGTGGTATCGATATTCCTTCAGCAATCTTAGTCATTTTTAGCATTTTGCTGATCCTTGGATTGGATTAAATTAAATACGCCTTTTTGCTGCCTTGCGTTTTTTTGAGAACTTGACCTTTTATTGTTTGCCGTTTGGCGCAGAAGTGACAGGATTGGCGTTTTCATCTCCTACTATCCGTTGACACTGCCATATGTCGCCAAAGGGAGTGGATTGTTCTGCGCTGCAGCTAGTTTTGGCATCGCAGTTGGATTGCTCCAAACCCTCGGGGTTCTGAACACAGCAATCAGCTGGCAAGCTGGTGAGACGCGACTCGAAGAGAAGCCTACCCGGTAGCAGTATTTTACAGTTTTCCACATACAAAATGAGAGAGATATAGCCTTAACTAGGTGGTGCGCTGGAAGGGTCGTGAAAACTCATTGTTTACAGCAAGAGCTGCTACATGATCCGTACATGAAAGACCTGAGGCAAGTTTGCAACTAAAATGCCTGAGTGATAAACTGAGAGGACAATCCCACACTAAATTTTCTCATCGGATGCATTATTATTAGTATCATCGACTCGACTGATCAAGCCCCCTCGATACTCACGCGAGCGAACAGTCGATCAAGGAGATGAATGGCACCCTCTCCCTTTTGGCGTTACCCTATATTTTCCAATCCTTCCGGACTTTTTCTGCTGGTATATAAATATCAATTATCAACGATATCCCGATATCAATTCAATGGTTCTAAATGCAACAGTCGTACTTCATTCCGAGATGGTTGTGGCCCATCATACCCATCATATTCTGCCCAAATGTTTCACTTCGATTACATGCACGTGCTTGTACTGAGGCCACTTCTGCATTTTGCATCCCTGTTTGTTTTTGACCTAGATGGCTTTGGATACAACTGTGTCGCAGATAGAGATGTGGAACTTTACGGCATCACGGCATCATTCTTTTGGGGGGTGCCCCTTTGCTTCGTCATCTTGGGTCCGGTGACGAACCTCAGTCCGTTGTTGAAACGGAGAGGTCTTGCATGGCAAACCACGAAGACCGTGAATTGCATAGGCCACTTTCTCCAGGTAGCATCTACTACAATGGCATCCGTGGGATTGTTGCCCTTCATGTGCTATGATCACCCGAACGGAAACTGGGTAGTGAATTTCATGTTGAAATTCTCTGTTGCAGATCGCAAGGGTCTCATACTTTCCAGATCTTTCTTAGGGCCTGGGATCCACCAACGAGGAAAGCAAAGCATCTTGAAGTATTCCAACACTTTGTGCGGATCCGCTGAACACCTTTCCATGCAGATCATCGGTACGTCCCTGCTGGTGCTGTCCGTGAGTTTCTTTTCCATGTGCTGCTTTGCTGCATGGAAGGCGCCAACTTGGTCTGCCGGCCCAAAAGCCTCCAGCCGAATACCTGCCATTGTGTTCCTCATCCAGCGATTTCGTCCCAGCAAATGGTGGTTTGGCCTCATCATCGTGGGACGAGGCTGCTGTTTGTTGGAGATAGTGAAAAGATGTGAAAAGACCTTGGAACATATTGGAACCCTATAGGTTCTTCAAAAAGGGATCTGAACAGGGATTTAAGACTTGTATATACTTTTATGCTGTTATCTCAGACGTGTTCTCAAGAACCCCGCCGGAACTGTAAACAGCTGCGCATATCATATTGTACAAATCAAGTTCAGCATCCTGAGAAATCTAAAGCAACTAGAGCCAAGTTGCCCCCTATTTGGGGTGAGGACTAAACCCTGTTGACCCCCTGCCCCTGAAAACTGATCATTTGAGGCAATTTTGATTTTGGGCTGCTAGATTTAGCCAATTTCGTGATTTTCAGATCGACAGTGTAGAGTATTTTGGATCAAACTACTTTGCTCCACACTTGGGGGTTGAACGAATAGAAACTGAGTGAGATGACAGGCGATGTATGGTAATACACCCACAGGATCTCTGGGGTAGTTGGCTGGAGTGCGAGCCTCAAAAAAAGACCAACTCTCAGAGAAGACGACTAAAACTTCCAAAAAAAACTGCAAACGCTCAATTTTTATAAAATCCTATTTTTTTTTGAGAGATGCTCGATACTACTCGAAGATTTTGAGCCACCGGAACATTTGAAACCAAGTATTGTCAAAATCGTATTGGACATGTTTGATGAGTACAAAATTTTCCTGCTTCCCCCGAACCCCTTGTGTTAGCAATTTCGCAGGTCAGCTCTTGTCTTTGCCAGTGGTCTTTGCCACCAACATGCCCAACCTCCACCTGATGATCATGTTGTCAGTCCAGCAGCTCTACACCAATCTGCAGCTATGGTGTCAGCCATGGAAGTGCGCCGGGGCGATGGGGGCGGCAGGGCAGGATAGGGCTAGCATGAAATTGTTTGTGCAAACGATGGTTTGACTGAAAGGTGAGTGCTGTTGAGATATTTCTTCAGTATTTTTTTTGGCGAATTTCAGTCAAGTGGATTGAAGAACATTGACTGATAAGCAGGTCAAAACTTGAAGAAAGGTTTGAACTCGGTAGCAAGACATGACACAACAGTCGAATCTCACTCACAAAAGCAGCCGGACACAGCTTCAATGTCCAAAAAGCCGCGCAAAGAATCTTAAATTGTGGAGATCCCAATTTTGTATTTGTTCTGTAAATCATAGTAAATCCTCCCATGTTTGTCCACTTTTGGTGCAGCCCATTTTCACACCGTGACTGCATCGGGAGGTCGCCCATCCTCAACCTGGGAGATGCCACAGCTACAAGTCTTCTACTGAGTTTGTTGGCCACTTCTTTGGCCTGTCCCTTGTCAGCCATGGGGCGGGGGCCGGTGGTGGGGCTTTGCTTTACGACTGGAATGGGATACTGTGACGATTGTGACGTGTGATCCCAGGTATAGACTCATGCAACAGAGTGATGCAAACTTTGCGCATGATCGTCTCCATTGGTCTGGTGGCGAGCTTGGGAATCCTAGTTGCTAGCCAGCAGGGATATGAGGTCTGAGATCTCTGAGATCCTCAAAATCCAGGTGCAAAAGGGTGGACATGTAGTCACTCTGGTGGTGATGATTAAATCGATGCCATCTCCTTTGTAGGAAAAGGTAAATGCATTTTCCAAACACTTTGCACATCACTTGTTTCCAGACGCTCTTCGACGGTGCTTCTGGTATACTGCAGTTTTTTTCAACATGGCCTAGCTGCTAGCCACTTTTCCCAAAACCCGTTGTCACACGACTTTTAGCACAACTCAAGCGGGGAAGTTTGCAAGGGCCTTCGCAAGGCCAAGTGTTGCTTGAAAGAAGTCCAAAGAATATCCCTAACAGCAACAACCAAAGGAAAAAGTCAGCAAATGTTTGTCGAACACACAGCAGTGGCCCCACACAAAGCTTGAATAGTGGGGACATCGTTGAAACGAAATAGACTTTGCTTGGAACCCTGTGCCTGGACACCTTGCTTGCAAATCTGTTCCTGGGAGCTTTGCTTGGAAACCCTTCCTTGGTAACCTCGCTTGAGAACCTGTTCTTGGGAACCTGTTCCTGGGAACCTGTTCTTGGAAACCTTCCTTTGGAACCGATTCCAGGGAGATTTGCTTGGGAACCGGTTCCTGAAAACCTTGCTTAGAGATCTGTTCTTGGGAACCTTGCTTACGAACCTGTTCCTGGAACCCTTGCTTGGAAACCTTGCTTGGAATGGTAACCTTGCTTGGGAACCGGTTCCTGAAAACCTTGCTTAGAGATCTGTTCTTGGGAACCTTGCTTGCGAACCTGTTCTTGGCAACCTTGCTTGGAAACCTGTTCTTGGAACCCTTGCTTGGCAACCTGTTCTTGGAACCTTTGCTTGGGAACCTGTTCCTGAAAACCTTGCTTAGAGACTAGAGATCTGTTCTTGGAAACCTTGCTTGCAAACCTGTTCTTGGCAATCTTGCTTGGGAACCTGTTCTTGGCATCCTTGCTTGGCAACCTGTTCTTGGAACCCTTGCTTGGGAACCTGTTCTTGGGAACCTGTTCCAGGGAACCTGTTCTTGGCAACCTTGCTTGGGAACCTGTTCTAGGGAACCTTGCTTGGAAACATATTTCCTGGGAACCTTGCTTGGGCCTGTTCTTGGAAACCTTTAGGAACCTGTTCCTGGGAACCTAGCTTGGAAAGCTCTTCTTGGGAACCTTTGGGAATCTTTGGGAACCTGTTTTCGGGAACCTTGCTTGGGAACCTGTTTCCTGGGAACCTGTTCTTGGTAATCTTGCTTGGAAACCTGTTCTTGGGAACCTTTAGGAACCTGTTCCTGGGAACCTAGCTTGGTAACCTGTTCTTAGGAACCTTTGGGACCTTGCTTGGCAAGCTTGCTTGGGAACCTTGCTCGGGAACCTTGCTCGGGAACCTTGCTCGGGAACCTTGCTTCGGAACCTGTTCCTGGGAACCTGGGAACTTTGGGAATCCGAATTTTGGCTGATCCGACCTTCTCCGACACCTTTACTATGGCTGAAGACCCCAAGCTTACGCTGTTGGGGAAACGCATGAAAACTACGCTGTTGCACTTTCAACTGATGCAATCAAAAAAGTTAGGCTGGTGACACTTTTGTTGGACCCTTTTTTGAAAATATTTCTGCAACCTTCTGGTGAAAAAGTCTTGTAGAACACTCTTGCGGAAGACCTTCTGACATGTTTTGCAGAAGAAAAAGACGCTTGACTCTTATTAGAGTTTTGCTGGGCACTCTTGGTGAACACTTTCAAAAACCACTCGTGCAAGACCTGCAAGAATACCATGGTAGAATGCTCTTGTGTTGCATCGCGTCGTTCTAAATGACACTTTTACAGCTCTTTCATACATGGGTCGGAGATGCCTTCGCAACAACCAACCAATGGTTGGCAGAACAAACAACTTGTCAAAAACACATTAAAAGCAGCATACCATACTGTTTGGAATGCTTCTGTCCCATGTTTTGTGTTGCATCACAATGAGCGTAGAGCACGTGCGCGGGAGACTGCAATGTCTTCAATCCAGGTTGTATTAATACTGTATATATATATATGTAATGATGCGTTTTAGTTTTACACACTTTTGTATAAGACTCTCGTAATTGATACCCTTCTGTGATCATTTACGCGACTTCTTTGTCGAACACTCTTGGACTCTTCGACACTCTTGTCAGCACTCTTGTGAAGTACATGCTTACAAAAAGTTTGTATAACATGTTTGAACAGCACTCCTGAAAGTGAGATGTTGTATGACAGTTACACAAGACCTTCAAACATTGGCCTATGTCTACCACCAATTTTGCAGCGTGCTTGAAGAACACTTGTACATATGGAGGCTCTCTTGCAGCGCTAGCATTCTAGCAGAATCATCGCATACCGGCATATCATCATGGCCTCCCACAACAACATGTACAAAATGGGCAACAGAGTTTTGGAGCGGAATCCTGACATCTGTGTTTTTTCAGTCTTGTGCGACAACTAGGACACTCGTTGAAGTTTAAACACTGACTTTGAATAAAATTAAGGTGAGTGAACATATTCTACATGTTTGGACACCGACCCCCAGCCCACAGTATCCCACAGTAGCATAAGAACCTTTCACACCCCAACCTTCGGATCCTTCGCATTGATAGGGCAAATGACTGGGTTTTGTGTATTTGTGTATCACTTCAGTGAGATTTGAATTGGAAAATGGTACAGATGTCAACTGTCAACTCGTTTCTGTCGAACTGTTTCGAACCGAGTTACAAGGTTTCTACTACATGCTTCAACTTTGCGTATGCCTTCGTGACAGGGAAGCAACTGACACTCGGATAGACTGAGCGCGTTGCTCCGCACTCCGCAAAGCTTTGACACCGATGAAATGCCCAATTCATCGCAATTCATGGTGGGTCCAACTGCTTTCCATCTTACAGATCTTACAGTGATATTGCATGATGTCACGTTGAACAGTTGTCCTTTTGATCAATTTTAGAATAGCCTATCATATCATGAGCGTCACCGTTTTGGGTTGGCAGAATGGCCACGGGCCCATGATATCATATCCCATGATCATCATGATCATATCGCATCCATTCCCTCCACATCACCCATTTCCCAGGAAGGTGATCAACTTGGGTGAACTGGACAGCCAGCGTGTCGTTGATGGCTTGCAGAAGATTTCACAGTTCCTGGATTCCTACGAGAAGGAAAGATCTGCAGAGCTGCTGGAAGGCGTGCTGGATTTGCTGAGTCCATGATTGTTGATTGTCCAGGAAATCCTTTACTTGGGGAATCTATATGAATCTATAGGCAATACGGAATATGTTTTACTTTTTTGGGGGTTCCTTAGGCAAATCCAAGCTAACACATGACCAAAAGCCATTTCCAGTTGGGACATGGACTGAACTTTCGACCTGGAAGTTTCATGTCATCACTGTGTTCTTCAACCTGACGAAGTGGCTGTGGCCAGCCATACCCAGCCTCAGGATTGTCAAAATTGTGCCCTTACGACTTGAGCTGCGTGCTGGAAGCCATTGACGTCTTGCTCGATGATTGGCAGCTGGCAGTGCATTCGCAAGATTCTGTGAAGAGACCGGAGAGGTCTTTCAGTGGTCGCATCTCAGCAGCCCATGGTCGACGTGGCGGCAGCAGTAGCAGCAAGAAGAGTCCGAAGAGACCCACGAAGCTCCAGGCTGGATGTGGATATGGGATCTGAAAGCAGAATAAGCAGACAAGTAATTTAATGTATTTGCATGTTTTTGCATCATGCGAAAGGGGACCCGGGTGGTTTTGAAACACCGGACTCCATGCGAAAGTGTTGGGATGTGTCGAGGAATCTCTGAATGATTTTAAGGTCAAGCTTGGCCAGTTTGTACCGGTAGTACCGCACAAGGTGGTGGCGGAAGTTTCAAAGATAGACAACTATAGGAGAGGTGAGTTGTTGTGATGCATGGATGGCAGAGCAAATCCACTGATGGACCGAAAGGTGGTTGGAGTTGTGGTTTTTTAAGAGTGGTTGCAGTGACCACCTCACCCACAACTGCTGAATGTAGTGTTGTGTTGTGCGGTGTAGTAGTGTAGTGTAGTGTAGTTGTACTTGTAGTTGTAGTTGTAGTGTAGTGATGTAGTGGTAGTTGTAGCAGTTGAAGTTGTAGTTGTATTTGTAGTTGTATTGAAGTTGAAGCTGAAGTTGAAGTTAAAGTTGTAGCTGTAGCCTTGGTTGTAGTTTAGTTGTAGCTGTAGTGGTAGCTCTAGTTATAGCTGTATTTGTAGTGTAGTGGCAGTGGTAGTGGTAGTTGTAGTTGTGGCTGTGGCGTAGTGTAGCGTAGTGTAGTTGCGGTTGAAGCTGAAGTGTATTGCAGTGTAGTTGTAGTTGCAGTCGTAGCTGTAGTTGTAGTGTAGTGGTAGTTGTAGTTACACTTGTAGTGTAGCGTAGTGTAGTGGCAGTTGTCTATCTATCTTTCTAGTTGTTTATCTCTCTATCTGTGTATCTATCCATCTCTGTGTCTATCTTTCTATCGGTCTAGCTGCAAGCTTGAAAACGAAGCTACTTTGTGAGACTTCCTCAGTTTTTAAACTTGACAATATCGAAAACGCAGCAATTCTGCAAGACTTCCTTCAAAAATGGAAAGTTGAGTGCAGAGCTGACGGCCTCGTGCCAATGCGTCATGCGATTTTTCCAGTCCATGTCTCTAAAGTAGTGCGACTGCCACGAAAAAGTGCTGCCAGGTCAGACGAAGTGCTGCACCTGTCACGCAAAATCATCTTAGCAAACCTGAAGATCTGATGCTCCAAAATGCAACCCCTCTCAGGAAATCAGCGGGCTGATCTCCTAACATCTCTGATTAACATGTCTCTTGTATTGCGCTTGCCCACGAAGTGCATCTTTGCAGATCCCCTTCAAAAATGTCCCATGCCTGCCATCGTCTTTGGAGATGCTACAAAACCCTCATGTTTTCCTCACTTTTGGCAGGGTGCAGAATCCCTTGCGCCTGCCACACAAAACGATGCTTCAACGTCCAAAAGTGGCACGAACATGTCTTGTTTTCAACATTTTGAATTCGAAATGTGCTTCGCGCCACAACCCTGTGCACTTGTTCAACAGCTCAGCTTCCACAAGTGGTCTGAGACCCTCCGTTTTTTACACTAACTTTTGACCTCCACATGCCAATGTGCTTCGAGCCTTAGCCGCGTGCAATTTTCAACATCCCAACTTCCAATAGTGGTCCGAACCTGGTGTGTCTTGTACATTTTGAACTTCCAAATCTGCTTCGCGCCGCAACGGCGTGCAATTTTTCATCTCTCATCTGGCTAGATGGTTCCGCACCCGCCGCCCTAGCGAGCCTACTTTTTCGACCCTCCGGAGCCACAAATCATTGGAAAAACATGGAAAAATACAGTGTTTTGCGACTTTTCTACCTTTTCGCGGGCCTGCATCTTCCTTCTTCTGACTCTTTCTTTTCTCTGATCTTCTCTGATCTTCTCTCTTCTTCTCTTCTCTTCTCTTCTCTTCTCTTCTCTGACTCTTCCCACCTCTGCTTTTCCATCTGTCCATATTGTCGAAAGTTTGACTTCTAAACTTGCTTTGATAATATTAGGTAACTAAAATTAGGTGTAAGAATGTATAATACAGGAATGCTATTAGCAATATAAATATAATAGTGTACATATATATATATAGCATTCAATTATCTATAATGATTTATATATATAATATAATATAATATATTTAATATATAGTATAAAATGATATTATTTAATACAATATAATATTTCATTTTCACAATATATAACATAAGGTATAAATTTATATTATATATTATACAAACCGATGTTGATATATAATATCAAATATTTTACAATATATTACATAACATACGTTATTAGATTGTATTAGGCTAGATATTAGGTATGACGTGTTAGGTTGATAGCAGGATATGAGCACTATATAGGCATTCAATGGGTACTAGATTGGGTATATATATATACATGTAGCGCATATATATATAACGTTACTTTATATAGGACAGATCTTTGGTATACAGTGTTAGGTAATGTTAGGTATATAGGTATGCTATTAGCAATATATGTAGGCTGTATTTAGGCATGCCATAGATTGTGGTTCGTTGGTAGCACGAAAGAGAGTACAGTATTTGGTACCTAGGTGTTTTATATAGCAATGAGCGAAAGAAGTTTAAAAGTCAAACTTCCGACAATATGGAGAGATGAAACAGGAGGCAGGGAAGAGAAAGAGTCAGAAGAGACGAAGTCAGAGAAGAGAAATAGTCAGAAGACATAAGATCAAAGCGAGCGAAAAGGTCGAAAGGTCGCTTCGGGGGGTCGAAAAGTAGGCTTCTTAAATAGCGGGTGCAGAGACATCTGACCAGATGAGAGATCAAAAAGTGCACGCCGTTATGGCACGAAGCGCGTTCCAAAGTCAAAATGGTAAACGCATTTCATTTTCGGCCCACCTTTGGACGTTCAAGCGCTGTTTTTTCTGGTAGACGCAATGGATTCTGCATCTTGTTAAAAGAGAGCCAAACGTGTGGGTTTTGGAACAGTTTCAAAAGCGATGGCGGGTGTGGGAGGTTTGAAGAGGATCTGCAAAGATGTATTTTGCGTGGCTGGGGCAGTACACGAGACACATGAGTCAGACATGTTAGGAGGTCAAGGCGCTGATTTCCTGAGCGGGTTGCATTTTAGAGCATCAGATCGTCAAGTTTGCTAAGATGATTTTGCATGACAGGTGCAGCACTTCATATGACTTGGCCTCACTTTTTCGTGGCAGGCGCTTTAACTTTAGACACATGGAGCGGAGAAATCGCAAAACGAATTGGTACGAGGCAGTCAGCTCTGCACTCAACTTTCCATTTTTGAAGGAAGTGTCGCAGAATTGCTTCGTTTTTGATGTTGTCAACTTCGAAAATTGAGGAAGTCTCGCAGGATTGCTTCGTTTTAGAGCTGTGCGCTGTGCACATCCATTTTTTGAGAAAGTCTAGGATGCTTGCTTTGTTGCAAGTAGATAGATAGATAGATGGATGGATGGATAGATAGATAGATAGGTAGATAGATAGATAGATAGTTAGATAGAAAGATAGATAGATATATAGATAGATAGATAGACAGATAAACAGATAAACAGATAGATAGATAGACAGACAGATAGATCGAGAGAGGGAGAACAAGAGAGCAGAGATAGATGGATGGATGGATGGTTGGATGGATAGATAGATAGGTAGCTAGGTAGACAGACACACAGACAGATAGATACGTAGACAGAGAGAGAGAGCCAGATAGATAGGTAGGTTGATAGATAGGGAAGGTTGGTAGGAAGGTAAGTAGACAGACAGACAGTTAGATAGACAGATAGAGAGTCAGATAGTCAGATACACAGATGAATAGGCAGATTGATAGACAGTCAGATAGACAGATCGCCAGATAGATAGATAGATAGATCGATAGATAGATAGATAGACAGATAGATTAGATAGATAGATAGATAGATAGATAGATAGATAGATAGATAGATAGACAGATAGATAGATAGATAGACAGATAGATAGATAGATAGATAGATAAGAACGATTAATTGTGTAGATAGATGGATAGATAGAATCTAAGATACATAGATAGATAGATAGATACATAGATATAGAGATAGATAGACAGAAAGAAAGATGGATACATAGATAGACAGATAAATTTATAGATAGATAGATGCATAGATAGATAGATAAATAGATAGATAGATAGATGGATAGATAGAATCATAGATACATAGAAAGATAGAGAGATAGAGAGAGAGAGAGAGAGATAGATAGATGGGTGGATGGATGGATCGATCGATCGGTCGATAGGTAGATACATAGATCGATAGATAGATAGATAGATAGATAGACAGACAGCTAGATTAGATAGGTAGAAAGATAGATAGATAGATAGATAGATACATAGATAGACAGACAGACAGACAGACAGATAGATAGATGATTGACTGATTTGGTTGATTGATTGATTGATTGATTGATTGATTGACTGACTGACTGATTGATTGATTGATTGATTGATTTGGTTGATTGATTGATTGGTTGGTTGATTGATTGATTGGTTGACTGGTTTGGTTGACTGACTGACTGACTGATTGATTGATTGATTGACTTGGTTGACTGACTGGTTGTTTGATTGGTTGACTGACAGATAGATGGATAGATAGATAGTTAGATACATACATACATACATGCATACATACATACATACATAGATACATACATACATACATACATACATACAAAGATACATAGACAGACAGGCAGGCAGGCAGGCAGGCAGCCAGCCAGGCAGGCAGGCAGGCAGACACAGAGAGAGAGAGAGAGAGAGAAATAGATAGATAGACAGATAGATAGGCAGATAGATAGAGAGAGAGAGAGCGAGATTCAGAGCGTCAACCACCTTTCAGTCCATCATTTTGCTCTCCCATCCATGAATCACCACAACTTGCCTCTCCTATAGGGTTCCTATCTTTGAAACTTCCGCCGCCGCTTTGTGCGGTGCTAGTGGCAACCAATATGATAATGCAAGATTAATGATTGTAGTGTCAGACATTGTTTGGGATGGGTTGGCCTTGGCAGGCAGGAGGGTAGGGGCATGGAGGGGCTTGGGGGGCTAGAGAGGGATGGCACCCACGGTAAGACGGGATCATGTATATATATATTTATTTATTTAGATGTTGATTTTATATGGTTCAAAAGGCACAACTGTACTTTGCAAACTGGACCCGGGATGTCACATTGAGCCTCACCAAAATGAATCAAACAATGTGTTTTCACGCAACGTTGTTCTTTCCTGAAATTGAACATGCACCACTCCAACCTCACACATCCCAAAATAGGCTAAACACAAAGATTATCGTGGTATTTTTGGTATTTATTTGCTGTGCGAATGCCAATCAGTTTTCTGTGGCAAAAAAAAGGACGTGTTCTTGTGAAAGTAGGATGAATTTCAAGTTCTGCCATTTGTTCCACCAAGAATATGTTATCAGGATTGCTTTGAAACCTGGCGCCAGGACAGACAGTCCTTTCATGTCTTCGATATGGGGGATGATGAGGCGCTGTGAATATTGCGGTGCTAAAACTGTAGCTGGCAACTCGAGCCTTTCATTTTTGAATATTTTTTCAGTAAACCAACCAGGGCTAGGAAAAGTCTTAGGATGGAACATAATCGAATATGAACAGTGGATACCAATACCTTTGCAAATTTTGATCTATTCACAGTATTTTTATGGTAATTTTTGTCACCGTTCAGCTGGATCTGCCGGAGGTCCCAGCAGAACATCCAAATATCAATGACGTTCTGACTGGTCTCCGCTTGGCAGATGTTGAAACATCGCCTCCGGAAATGATGGATGACGAGGAGGAATCACCTTCATCTGTGATTCATTTGTAAATGTTTGAGGAGATGTTTGTGGCGTAGCCACTGACATCGTTGAATCTCTCAGAATGCCGACTCCAGTCTCCAAAGTCCTCAAAAGGGTTCTGTTTTTTGAAGTTAATGTTAGGGACCCAAAAATTCCTAAAAGGAATTTCTGGAGCTCCCATCGTAGACATATGAAACATATGGCCTCATCGGTGTTTGTGCTCTCGCGCCGCAAGGTCGTGTATTGTATCGTGCCATGCTCGTGGTGCAAGGAAAGAGTGTTGCTGCGCTGGTTGAGCACTAACCATCAACCGGCTGGTGGTTGTTGGTTGGGGTTTGTGGATGTAGTAGATTCATATCCATGACGATGTATAATATATATATATATATAAATATGTGGGACTTGTGACAATATTGGGTCCCTTATGATTCTGGTAAATGCTAATCATTCATAAGAATCCACCTACATGGTTTCTGATGGGTTAAGAAACCTGAAGAATTTCCCTTTTCACATGCCATGATGAGTTCATGCGACTGCTTGAACCACATGGGAGGTAAACGTCGATCAACATCGCGCATGTTAATTTCATTAAAGACTATTAGCCCACTTACAACCTGTTATAACCCAACCTTTTCAACATGAAGCAGGTAGTTTGGGCATTGCGCCTGGTGTCGAGGGTCCACATGCCCAAGGAAGCCACCTACTTCGATATCGTTGAAAAGGCACGCGCCTTGCTGACAGACGATGATTGGTGGGTGGTCCGCTTCTCAGGGGAGATGTGCCACGGTGGATCTATGTGGGTCTCATGGGTATGAACATGAATGAACATCCATAGCACTTTGGTGTTGGGGTGAACTGACCCATGTGATTGGACCCAAAACTAGGGGATGCTGGTATACTCCAAAATGGCAATCAATGGCCATGTTGATGGGAAGAAGACGGACGAATGCTTATTATGATTACTCCCTTCTCCCTAGTATTAAATACCACCTGGAAACCATGGTTTAGTATTGAAGCGTACTGCCCTCAGGATTTTGAGGCTCTCCATGGGAGGGGTCGGGACCTCCATAGGAGGGAGGGGTGGGGTCACGAGGTCGCGAGGGCCCGGATAGTAGTTTTTCTGTTGTTTTACAGATGTAACCGTCTTGATCAACTGGAAATGTATTTTTGAGTAGGAGCCATTTCTTCAACCCCACCCTTCCTGCTCCTCGACCTGTTGTTGCAAATATCATCTACTGTACAAGTTGCAAATCTCGTTGTTGAGCTGAAATGATTTAATTAGCTGCAAGCATCGTGCTGTCCAAAGAATACTGGAGAAAATGTCTATCTTTGAGAATTATCATTCAGCCCCAAAGCTTTACAGATCTGAAAGCAAAATAGTAAAGGCTCACATGGAGATAGTCAGCTACTGTATTGGACGTCTTCCTGCGAGACTGAAAGTTTGAGGATGACCTGGAAGACGGTGATTTATTTGAGAAATTAGCAGCCTGCTTAGGGGTCACTTTGCTCGGATCTAAGGTTGTTTCTAATTAGCATGTTGTGTCTGCACAGTGAACGGGTTTTCGCATGCTTTCACTGCTTGGGGGTCCCCTGTTTCCAGAGTCGTTGCGCAATTCAAACTGAGTTCAAACAACATGTTGAGAAAAGAGCGCCCCATTTTTTCCACAACATGACTTAGGTAGCAAGGAAAATCTGCTCAGGTGACTCTGGGGCATTGAATTTACCAACATTCTTGCTTTCCCAATTTTACAAAAACACTCCTAGTACTGGAAACATCATCACATCATTGATTTGCCCACCAGTTGAAGCTGGCATCGGTCAAGTACTACCCCCACAGAATATAGCAAACGGTTTTCCAGATTCAGGTGGATACCAAAGGTAAAAAGGTCTTTGTAGGACGTCTTCCCCAGTCCAAGTTTTGGGCGGCCAACAAAATGGTTCGGACATCCAGTGTCGCATGTCCTTTTCTTTTTAATTGGCACGAGTGCCAAAAGTTTTGTAAGTCCGCTCTGGGAAATTCACAACAAATCAAAATACGAAAAATGCATCGTCACAAAGTACAGTCCGTCCGGTTTGTGATTTTACGGTTTTCTGCGGGTGCAGAAGTGCCCTGAACTTCAATTTCAGAATGCTGTAATCCGCATGGATGCAAGAAACACAAGTTATCCTTCACAAGGAGATCGTTTTTATCAGCCGAAGTACAACAATCTAATACTGAAATAAAACACAAACCCATCAATCTTAAGCTGGCAGAGGGGTATGGGATATCAGGGCTGTAAACGCTGTAAATGCTGTAGATATCTGTAGATCCACTTCTGTCCCAAAACATGCAGCACTGGCACGAAAAACACCCAGAACACCTCCCCAAATATCGCAGGATGCGCTGAAAAACAATATCGGACACGCCAGAAATGGCCAAACATGAGACTTAAAACACGTATAACATCGGAAACGTCGAAGAATGCATGGGAAACATCGGAAAACCCATCGGAAAGAAAATTCTTGACCCCTCCAAACACATGGTTTTGAGTGCCCGCGACGTCCCGGGCATCGGAAAGCCAGATTGAAACTTGAAACTGAAACCTTTGAGCGATTTGTTGGTCCAAAATTTTTGGGTGGACAACTGGCGTAGACACATAGTTACTGAATGTTACAGAACAAGGAGCTCCTACCAAAACAGCAAAATATCATCAATGAAGTCGGTTTGAGGCCTCATTGCCAAGAAAGGGACCTGCATGTAAGCATTCTATTGATTTTCTGGTTTTCTCTTGGTTCAGTAGGCTGACTTGATATAGGCAGAGAATGCAATCCGATCCACCAATTCACGGCCAGCGTTGCCTGTATTTAAGCTGCCAACCATTTCAACCGTGTGTCCTGGACTCAGAAATACCCACCAAATCCTACACAAGTATGAAAATCATTTGCAAGATTGCCCCGGCTGCAAAACCCAAGCTGGGAAACTCATTTGTTCAAGTTGAAGTGCCATCACATGGCAACTTTAGCATTTTGAGGTCATGTCACATTTGCACTTTAAAACCCTGGAGCATGGTCTATCGGCTAAACAGACTCAGTCAGAGCAATCCTATAATCCTATCATAATCCTAGTACACATTTTTAGCCCAGTTCAGTTGAATCCCCAAACCAAAAAAAATACTTCACTTCGAATGATCCCCACCATGGCATTTATACATTTTCTTACTGGCAAATCTTCTGGCATTCTATCTGACATATCTTCTGGCATTCTATCTGGCATATCTTCTGGCATATGTTCTGGCATATCTTCTGGCATATCTTCTGGCATTCTATCTGGCAAATCTTCTGGCATTCTATCTGGCATATCTTCTGGCATTCTATCTGGCATATCTTCTGGCATTCTATCTGGCATATCTTCTGGCATTCTATCTGGCATATCTTCTGGCATTCTATCTGGCATATCTTCTGGCATTCTATCTGGCATATCTTCTGGCATTCTATCTGACATATCTTCTGGCATTCTATCTGGCATATCTTCTGGCATTCTATCTGGCAAATCTTCTGGCATTCTATCTGGCATATCTTCTGGCATTCTTCTGGCATTCTATCTGACATATCTTCTGGCATCTATCTGGCATTCTATCTGGCATATCTTCTGGCATATCTGACATATCTGGGCATTCTATCTGGGCATTCTATTCTATCTGGCATATCTTCTGGCATATGTTCTGGCATATCTTCTGGCATTCTATCTGGCAAATCTTCTGGCATTCTATCTGGCATGTCTTCTGGCATTCTATCTGGCATATCTTCTGGCATTCTATCTGGCCGTTGAGGTCCGGCAGTGCCCACTGGGATCTGGAGCTCGCGGTTGAGGTCCGGCAGTGCCCACTGCGATCTGGACGTCGCGGTTGAGGTCCAGCAGTGCCCACTGCGATCTGGAAGTCGCGGTTGAGGTCCGGCAGTGCCCACTGTGACCTGGAAGTCGCGGTTGAGGTCCGGCAGTGCCCACTGCAACCTGGAAGTCGCGGTTGAGGTCCGGCAGTGCCCACTGGGATCTGGAGCTCGCGGTGGAGGTCCGGCAGTGCCCAGGAGGAGGAGGAGGAGGAGGATGCGGAGGCGGAGGAGGAGGAGGAGGAGGAGAACAGCTCTGATAAAATCTAACAACCCTCACCTGGCAGGTGGGGAAAAACACAGGAAATCAAATGGCAGACAAAATTTGAAAAAAGGGAAATTACTTGGGCAAGCTAGTTTGGGTCCCTCATGGCCCCTCGCTTCTCAAGCGGGACTGCCTTCATGAGGTGTCCAATCAAATTGAGATCCTTAGGGTAGATACACAAATAAATCAGTTTTGGGCCTGTGTGGAAAGGTGTTTAATCTTGGGGGTATGGAATATGGATTAATTATGATTAATTCCCATGAGTTTGTTTCGGCGAAAAAATCCACTCCAGTATGCTCCAGCAAGGTGAACGCCCAGCGGGACCCTACAGTTCCGCCCATGTGAGGGGCACCGGGGCCAGGGGCTCGGTGGGACGCGGTGGGAGTCGATCTAAGGCCCAAGTATTGATGGTTATTGGTCATTCTCATTGAAAACCATGATAAGGATGCTGATTTTTGGGATACTCCAAAGTTGAGAACCACCAAAATTCGGGGTATTCTGTCGGATTTGGGCAATCTTCACTAAGCTTTAGCCAGTCAACTGCTCAGTCACCGCAGCTTTTAATAGCTGCTTCCATGCTGCCTGAAAAGCCACGGGCATTGTAGCCATGCCAAATTCCTAGCCATGATCGGCAGCTTGGCTGCCAGGCTTTTCGTCTTCCACCTGACAGGGACTTGGGTTCGTTGGGGTAAGTGTAGCTGCGAAATCCCAGACATTTCGGAGGTGAATTTCTCGGAGGCGCCCCTGGATCCCTTGGATCCCTTGGATCCATTGGATTTGCAACTGCTCCAAATTTCCAACGTTCTTCAGCCCAGTGCACGCACCCAAGCTTCCAGAGTTTCGATTGCGAAACCCCAGTCCTGGAATTTCACGCAGATTCTGCGAGATAAGCCAACTGGATCATTTCTTTCACATTTGGATGTGCTCGTTCGCATGATCGGTGCGACCTACAACACGACCAGACCAATCCTGGCGCAGACACCATTGACTCTGACCGCAAGAGAGTCATGGCACCAAGCTCTCATTTTTCTGATGTACCCGCTGTACCCATGAGTTCTTGTATGTATGTCCTGTTTTATTTTCTACTGTGATATCATTGATGATCTTTGGTTGGACCATCCGAGATGTGAAACACCAAGTACGAGAAACTGAATCGGTCATCCATGTGCCAGGCTACTCGTGCCAGTGGAAAACGATGGGATCCCCAAAGATCACTTGCCGGATAGCCATCCAACTCAGAGATCCACCTAATCTGTTCCATTCTTACCCAGATATATAATAGATTATAATTGAATAATTGAATATCTAGGCTGTATGTGCCTATATATTCATGTAGCTATTCATATACCAGCACCATCATGGCAATCTCCCACCATTTTCTAGAAATACTTGATACACATGCATTTTTAAAGTGATGATATCAAAATCTAATGTGTAGCAAATCATAGCATTTTCCCATGTAAAACGGCATCAGATGTGCATTTCTCATGACCTGAGGACGGCAGCGTCTGGCAGCGCTTGCCCGACTTTGATCGTGATCCAGTACCGGGCGGGGTCTTCGCGCGCGTCTTTCGGCATGGGGATGTAGTGATTCTGGTCTTCAAGGGCGTTTGCACTGACGTCAAGGTGGTGGAGCCTGGCTACCCTGGTTGATATGATTGGAGTCATCCTGATACTGTTACTAGCTGGCTTAATGATGTTTAATGATGCACCAACGCTAAGCATCACTGGCTTGGTTTATCTGGAAATCTACAAGAAAGCATGGTGAAATTACCCTCAAATATAAGGGTTTTACTGCAGTTTTTCTCCAATTCGATGAGTGGACGGACAACTGTTGCTTGCTGAGTTTGTCTTCTGGGACATACAAACTAGCGGGAATGTTTTTGGATTCGTAGCCATCAGGACTCCCTGCTCAGGTGGAACAATGTCAGATTGATCTTTGCTACCTGAAGGAGATTCAGAATTATGGCCCTGTTTCGGACAGAGTGCTGCAGCTGATGGGCTTTGATGCCCAGCTCTGTAACACTTATCGAAGCTTCCTGAATTTCACAGAGCAGGCGTTTGCTCTGGTGACGGCCATTCAGGCTTCATTTCCCAGGCACGACACGGTATGCCTCACAAAGTCCACAACATGATTGGATATGAGTGGATGTCCTATTAAGGTCAAATATGATCAAAAACGAATGTGAGGTTTTATCTTGAAGGGCTGAACCCTCACGTCTATTTCGAGATATCGCTTATAATTATATGCAAATTATATAATTATAAATTATATATATATATATAATATGCTTATTATTGCTTATACATTGTCCCGAGAAACGACGGGAAATCCCGCTGCTTCCAAGCCTGGCAGGTGTGAGCTGCTGGTCACAGGCCACTCCTTGGGTGGGATGTTGGCCATGACGGTGGCGTCACGGTCATCGACCGTGAAGGCCCTGTCTTTTGCTCCAACACCCTGGAAGCACCTGCCGAGCCAGGCCGGGTGATGCCCCCGACCTTGGGAGAAAACATATATCACTCGTTGAAAAATGAAGATCATGAGATTTGGAAAAATGATGAAAAATGCGCAAATTGCAAAGTATTGTGATTTGACGAGCCACATGGGTTTGGAGCGAACAAAATCGCTTGGACAGGATTTAATTCGCTTGTATTTGGACGATTTTTTATGGCAGAGATAGGCTTGTGCCTCTCGGACTTTGCACAGTGAATCTGGGTCCATTTGGGTCCAGGTGTTCAGCTTTCAAGCAGTGCTAGCAGCAGTTTCCTTTGGGAAAAAATGATCCCTATGCAACATTTTTTTTTCACAGATGACAACAACTTCAAGCTCTTTTATCATATGATTTTCCTCCAACATACAGTACCATGAAAATTCATGAAGTCTTTCACCCTTGGCCATTGGAATCATTGGAGACAGGTTGATGCCCGGACTTCTAGCCCTGAGATGGTTGCACTCTGTGATCCCTACGACTGTGGAATCAACGCCTTCTTCGTACCTGGTGCACGGCTGGCAGCCACCACCTGCCTGTTTCTGGAGCAGGAGGAGCCCAGACCCTGCCAGGCAGGACATCTGTGACGCCTGGGGATCCTGCGTTGGGAAATGCCATTGGATGTCTGCCATGTTCGATATCCTATTGGAAACCATGGTTTAAACTTTAATCTTTGGATAAAGGGGTTTCTGATGGTTTCTGTGAATTTCACATTCAAGCATATCAACTGTACATAATTCTTGCAGTTGAGAAACCGCTTTATGTCTTCTCTATTATTTTCGAGGGTTTGGACTGGGTCAAGGGAAATGTGCCGTGGTCGATTGACTCTGGGATGCTTTCCTCGCGCAAGGAATGGTCACTAAGCGCGCGTGTCAGGGATTATGAGTATGCCTCATGGAGTAGCAATGTACCCAGAGAATTGATAATTGGTTTTGTTTCAATGTTTCATATTCAACCATATTAAGAATCCATTTCTCAGAGTAATTACATAACTTTGAGCCGTTCCCCATCTTATCATTGCAAGAAGGCTCTTATCACAACCTCCAAGACAATGTTTTGGCGTGTCACCGATGGCGTTTATGGCTTGGTTGAATCCACGGTCTTGGATATGAAACCATATGAGCTGATACAAGCTGTATAGAGTCATCAAGTGCGTAGTTGCAAGTCTAGCAGTTCTGAGCCAAACACCTCTCAGACAAAGACCTCTGGCTGGTGCAAGAATACATGCTTGCTCTGTGAGGGGTCCTCGGCATCTGCCTATCAAATACTCCAAACCAGGTTTATTCCGTTGAAGTGGGTCATAAACAGGTGATATGCCCATGTCGCGAATCTCATCCTCTTCCCCACGTACAACTGTCAGGCCTTGGTGGAGCCATACTTAAATCACACCTGGCGCCAGCAAATGGAAACTGAGTCCCCAGGCACGCTGGAGGGAGGGATGAACTCTGTGGCAAGGAAAGACAGTTTTGTGTAATCTAGTGTACATGATGTGAAAATGATGTGAATATGATGTAAATTTGATGTAAATTTGCTGTAAATATGATGTAAGTATGATGGAATTATGCTGTAAATTTGATGTAAGTATGATGTGAATATGATGTAAATATGATGTCAGTATGATGTGAATACGATGTGAATATGTTGTAAATACGATGTAAATTTGATGTGAATATGATGTGAATATGATGTAAATATGATGTAAGTATGATGTGAATATGATGTAAATTTGATGTAACTTTGATGTAAATATGATGTGAATATGATGTAAGTATGATGTACATTTGATGTAAATATGATGTAAGTATGATGTAAATATGAAGTGAATATGATGTATATTTGATGTAAATATGATGTAAGTATGATGTGAATATGATGTAAATTTGATTTAAGTATCATGTGAGTATGATGTAAATTTGATGTAAATATGATGTGAATGTGGTGTGAATATGATGTAAATTTGATGTAAATATGATGTGAATATGATGTGAATATGATGTAAATATGATGTAAGTATGATGTGAATAGCCAATATAATGTAAATATGTTGTGAATATGATGTACATTTGATGTAAATATGATGTAAGTATGATGCAAATATGATGTAAATTTGATGTAAGTATGATGTACATTTGATGTAAGTATGATGTAAGTATGATGTGAATACGATGTCAATATGATGTAAGTACCAGTAGTACCGCACAAGGCGGTGGCGGAAGTTTCAAAAGTAGGAAACCTATAGGAGAGATTGGTTGTTGTGAATCAGGGATGGCAGAGCGAATCCACTGATGGACCGAAACGTGCTTGAGGTCTCCTCTCTTTCTCTCTCTTTCTCTGACTATCTACCCACCTACCAACCTATCTTCTATGTATCTATCTATCTATCGATCTATCTATCTATCTCTCTCTCTCTCTCTTTCATCAAATTACCTATCTATCTATCTAATCTACTCTACTCTACTCTACTCTAGTCTAATCTAATCTAATCTAATCTAATCTATCTTATCTATCTATCTTATCTATCTATCTTATCTATCTATCTATATCTACCTATCTTATCCATCTACCTATCTTATCTATCTATCTATCTATCTTATCTTATTTTAACCTCTCTTATCTTATCTTCTCTTATCTATCTTACCTTATCTTATCTTATGTTTCTATCTATCTTATCTATCTATCGTATCCATCTATCTTACCTATCTATCTTATCTATCTATCTTATTTATCTATCTTATCTATCTACCTATTTTATGTATCTACCTATCTTATCTATCTATCTATCTTATCTATCTATCTATCCATCTATCTATCTATC